TGTTTATTATGCAAGTTGGTAATATCTATAATGCCTCTTCCGCCATCACTTCTTGGCAGAGTGAGTCTTTGTAGGCATGATCGCGGGTGATGTCTCCTGTGTTTTGTAAGTGTGGTATTGATACTGCTACTATACATAATGCCAAAGGAATACGTAAGGATCGGTATAGTATATGTGTTTATGGCTTTAATTGTGTTTCGGGAGTTTAGCTGAGTGTTGCATATTACTTTTAATCTATGTTTGAACTGCTTTGTTAGTTGGGTTTTAATTTGTGTATGTAGGATTTGTTTCGCTTGTATGTAACCTAAATATTTGTATGTGCCGTTTTCGTCTAAAGAATCAATATTTTCACCTGACTGTAGTTGATACGAATGAGTGTAAGTTTTTCCTGATTTGACTGAATTAATCTTGCATTTATCTATTCCAAAATCCATTAGAATATCATTTGAAAATATTTCTGTGGTGTCTGCTAGTCGATGTACGGAATAGACGCATATAGTTTTATGTCATCCATATAAAGTAAATGATTTATTTTTAAATTTTCGTGGTCAGTCTGTATAGTCGTAGTAGTCCCTCGACAAGAAAGTCGACTACAAATAGTTATATTTGTTCACTTGTAATGGTTATAGTATTTTACTTTAATAATCTTCATAAATGAACCATTCTATTTTTATGATCAGCATCGCATAGTCATAATTTTGTACCTACTTAAAGAGCAATCCCCTATTAACTCGTCGAGTACCGGTTTTGTAGACACAATTATAGAACAATAGGTTGCGGTCACCGGTGACCGCTTGGTGTTTGACAGTTTAAGAGAATGAATAACCACATAATATCATTAATAAAAGCAGTCATGGCAAAATATTCAACATTAAAACTTCATTAATTAACCAAGAATGCGATACCCCCTTATCCAAATTATATCATAGAATTTGTCGTTTGATTTGTAATTATTTATGAAATCAAAGATTTTTTAATAATAAATGATATTTTGTTGGTTTCATGTCGTTTTAACTTTATTTCCAAAACCTTTGTAATAAATTTATTATTTATCGATATATTTATCGGGAGCTATCGATATCGTCAAGTCACTACGGCGACGGTAGATCCCGCTCCTAACACACAGTGACAATTTGTTTTAGTGTGAGTAAATCATAGGAAAGTGCGCCGTCGTTTAAAGAATAAGGTTTATATATGAATTACTGAGTTATCGATGCCGCGTGTGTGCACTAATTCGTAGTATTGTTTTAATTGAAGACCCGTTTTGCAAGTGCTGCTGGCTAATTACTCAAAAACTCGCGAGATAGCTATATGTTTAGTCTCCTTCGCCTCACTCCTAAACAATAAAAAAGCTACGTTTATAAATTTGACGTACTGTGATTGATTTGACATTGCATCATCAAGTAAAGTAAAAATCGCTATCCCTACCATGGGCACTCAACTAAAGAGTTGTAGTGTAGTGATCTAAGAATGTATTAGTCGTAATCTAGACTTCATCTATTAAACACGTGTATCCTAATTAATTATTGTTTCCTTTACACCCGACACCTCAGAGTATTGAAGTTTTTTTTTAAGGAGGGAAAATCATCGAATGACTGCTCCCGCCTGGGTGAGGCGGGAGGGAGTGTCAGACTCTTACTGACTAAAAACCACCCCGGTCCTTCCCCTGCACATCGAGCCGGAGCCCCGGTAACCCGTTAGGTTCTCCGCGACAGGATTGAAGGGTTAGATACTAGTCTAAAGAACAAGTTTGTGTCGATTGCAGACGAGGACACGCGTGCACAGGCGCTGGCAGCGCTGGAAGCGGCGCGAGAGCTGCCACCCGAGAGCGCGCTGGCGGCCGTGGCGGCGGCGCTGCGGCTGCGGCTGGACGGCGCGCTGCTGCCGCCGCTGAGCGTGGTGCAGCTGTCGGGCGCCGGCCCGGACCTGGCCTTCGCGGGCGCCACGCCGCAAGCCGCCGCAGCCGACGCGCTCGACTATCTGCGTCGCACGCTGCAACTGAGCACGCCGGTCCCGGTCGACTTACCGAACCACCCTGGCATTGATGAAATTATGCGACCTGTCCTCACTCACCTGTCTGACGATGACATGATCATATAACAAAGTATACAATAATACATATACTATGTATGACCTTTTGATCGCCACATCAAAAAAGCAAACCTCAGCGCAAAGCTCAAGAATTCTTAAGTATAGGTTTTTAGAATTTTTACAAGCTTTTGTTATCATAATATGTAAATATAGACAAATGCTAAAAAAGTAGATCAATTAATATAAGTAAGAATGTGTCAAAGAAAATTATTTGCAAAAAGAAATTATTGCATGTAGGCTGTGGCATGCTGGGCACTTTTTGAGTGACTTGGTTTGCTCTTATTATCTATACATGACTGGCGATAGAAAGAACAGATTAAATAATAATATATTATTTGTTCCTTTTGTATTTTTTTTTAAATCAAACCCCACAAAACTATATAAACACTCATAGCATAGACTAAGAACTCTCCAAAGTTCTTCCTGCAAGGCTAGAAACGTGTAGGAAGAGACGCAAATAATATGCAAAGAGCAATAATCACGACCCGGCAGTCAGCAGCTCTGCACACCACCATCCATTTCACTTTTTAAAGCATAAAATGATTGTACTGTCATCAGGTAATCCATTTGTTTGTTTGATTGTTAGCCCTTACCCTTTTTATATAAAAAGAAACAAAATTGAAACAAAATGAAGGCATTTATTGTATAAATGAAACATATTGAGAAGAAAATGAATTAAATAATTTCATTCAGAATCATCAATGTCTGACGAGTCTCTACGACGAGCCTTTGAAGCTAAGTTATGAATCCATGTAGCAGATTTCTGTGCTGCCGAGCGACGCGGCGTACTTCGGCGCTCGGTAGCAGTAGCGACCGGCGAGGCGGGCGCTGCCACCTCGTCCCGGCCGCGGCCCCGACTGCGAGAGCCGCGGGCGCGCGAACCCCGGCCTCCGCGTGATCCTCGTCCTCTTCCCCGCGCAGTAACCTCCATTTCCCCTTGTAACTCTTCATCACTGGATCCTTCAACTACAATTTGTTCCGACACAGGTGGTGCTTTTAGCGCAGCTAGCTGTGTAATATCGGCGGAATCGATTTCGTCTCTCAGTACTCGAAGACGGTCGGCAATCGCTTCAATTTCGGTATCTGTGTTTGACTCTAGCAGTGTAGTAATACATCGCCGCCTGTGTGCCTCCAGCACATGTCGTAAGATATCCTCGTTTTGCTTGAGAGTGTAATCACGCACTGCCTCTGTCATTAATTGTACAGGCAAAGCAGCGAGGCGCCGTTCTGGCGGCATAGCTTCGTAGTAGGACTGCAGCAATGTCTCAACATCAGTGGAGTCGGCAACATAGTCTGCTACATTGATCTCATCGCCTTGTCCTTGTCGTCTTTCACGTATTTTTCTTTCTCGCTTCAATAAAAGGATATCATTTGAGTTTGCCACTATGCCATTGAAATTTTGTCCAAATCTTGCTCTATTAAATATCTGATCTTCCCGTTCATAAAACACACTAATTCTTATCAATGGCATGGTTGGTTGCCTAGGATCACCAGATAAAAGATTTTTCGCTTCAACAATAGCCTCATTAACCTTTTCTTTAAGAAATTCTTGCACCTTTTCACTTTCATTGACATCTTCATCTCCAAGATTATGTTCGGACAAAACCACAGTTTTGAAAATAAATGGTCTGACAGTTTTTAAAGGTACAGCAGTTAAAATGAAATCAGTTTTATGGATTTGAAGCATTGCACAATGTTTAGGTCTAGCTTCTCCTGCAGCCAGTGAAGTGGCCACAGTGCTGCCAGGCTGGATGACATTGAAATGATTCTTTTCACTGCTACCTTTCATATCAAACAATTCACAATCATGTTCATGACCCCACACTACTAGATCCAAAAATTTTGGTAATTCATCTTCCTTAATAAAATTACCAGCTCCTCTATCTTCAGCTCTGTTCTGATGCAGTACCAGTATATTAAACCAGTCATGTTCCTCATCACGCAGCATTTCTACTTTTTTCTCTTGAAAAAGACGTGACAAGCGTTGGTCTTTCAGATGGCTCAAACCATACAAGGCAAGTTTGGTAGCACCCTTTTGTAAGAGCACTGGCGAAATACGTACATGAGTATAGTCGGTCCATTTGCCGAAATAGTTCACTAAACCGCCTGTAGAGAGTATATCAAGGCTGCTTATACCTTCACGGCCCACAGGATCGTCGTGATTACCATGTATAGATAGTATCGGATATGACACATTCAAGTTTGGATCTTCATAATTAACGCTTCGAGAAAAATTCACAGTCTGGTCTGACAGTAACTCGATGCTTACCGGCTTATCACCAAAACAATACTTACGAACGATCTCAGTGCACTTATAAATACAATTAAGTGAGGGCTTTGCATGATGGAACAAGTCTCCGCCAAGTAGCACCAGATCTACATCATACTGAACAGCCAATGATAATGTTTCTTCAAAAGCAATAAAGCTATCCTCACCTCTAACAGGATGCTCCTCTAAGTAACCTAAATGGATATCGGAAGCGATCAGTATTCTAATTGTTTCATCTTGCGACCACGCACTTGAATCATTTCCGACCATTTTTCACAAATTATACAATTTGTAATTACTTTTGTATATGATATAGATAATAATCACGTTGAACGCCTAACTTGTTTATTTTTATTTCTTTCAATAAACCGCCATCATCATTTTTAACTTGACACAACAGTAACAAGCCCAGCGTTGACGTTGACACGTGCTTGATTGACAGTTGCAAATTGCCATGCCGTTCCCGCTATTCTCTTTGGTTTAGTTACCACCTCGCACTGCAGTAGTTTTATAGTTTTCTCATACTTCTACTTACTGGAAAAAAACTTTGGTGAGAATAAAAAAATTATCCTTACGTTGAATGCTAAAGTGGAAAAAATACAATGCACAAACTTACCGACCCAGTTCTGGAAAATGACCATATCACATTGTACTGGGACCGGTCAATCATTACTGACAGGAAATAGTCCTGTAGGCAATAAACCTGACATAGTGGTGATAGACCGACAACTACGCCGCACGATAATAATTGATGTCACCATTCCCCATGATGAGAACCTCGTGAAAGCTGAGAAAGATAAACAAATAAAATATCTAGACTTAGCTCTCGAGGTTGTCGACATGTGGAGTGTGGATTCGGCTATCATTGTGCCGATACTCGTGTCGGCCAATGGGTTAATCCCTAAAAGCCTCGACATCCATCTTAGGAGGCTGGCGTTAGGTGGATGGATCAAGAGCCTGATACAGAAGGCAGTTCTCCTAGAAACGGCACGTATCGTGAGGAGGTTTCTATCTCTGGAGCCCTAGCCACCGGTAGCTTGGACCATGCTCCCGCTACTGGTCGGCTCCTATTTTTTATATTTTTAAATATTTTTTTTTATTTTGTAAGTAGTATTTAAAAATGTAATTTATAGAGAATTTTAAATAAATATAATAATGGAATAATAACTCTAATTGACACGGTTTTCTTACCCCAGCTGAAAGTTGTTATTTTTTTTTGTGTTCAGGTAGATATATCCAGAAAAAATAATAAAAAAAATCTGTCACGTCTGGTTTGAAAAATATTTATTTTCTTGAAGGGAAACAATAATTCTCTCCATAGCATTGGCGAACCAAATGGAAGGTAAACTTTTTCTCCTGATGACCACTGGAGTAAGATGATTCTACAGCTTTCGCAAAACACGTAAGGCACCCACTTTTTATCTTGATTTGCAACAGGAAATCCAAAATAATGAAGATATGCAGTTTTCAACGAATCTACAATAGGTCTTCTTTTTTTTGAAAATATAAACTGTCCACAAACATAACAAAAACGGTTAGAATTTTGTTTGCACTTTCTGCTAGCCATTTTAAATCAATCCAAAGCAAAGTAACTGTCGTTTGAAGCGAACGAATAAACAATAAAATATCACCACCACGTTAGGTAGTTAAAAAAAACATTTGACTGCAGAAAAAAATTCCGACGTGATAAAATATTGCTGCTAACACGTTTAGGTTTAGGGAAGGTAGATTAACATATTGACATACATTCGGTTCGGGGTATAAGTAAAAAAAAAGTAAAATTTTGTAAACTAGTGTAATCTATTTATCACTTTTTAATGTAAGCAACATTGTCCCTGACAAAGTGACAACCAGACTGACAAGATAGGAACAACTTGTTAGATGGATTTATTAATGTGATAAAATGCGAAATTATTTATACTGCGACGTAAATATAATTTTTAATGTAAACGTAAAAATATGAATACCGAGGACAGTCCTTTAAATTATTTATGGATAATCTCCGAAAGAAAAATAGTGTTAAGTTGAAGAGAAAGTGTCGTGAAATCGGACAGTCGTCGCCTTCAATGATGTGGAAGAGGTCGATTGTGCAAGCGACGACTGGGTGCGCGCGCGCCACCGCGGCCCTGGCCATGCTGCTCACTGTATTCGCGGTGAGTTCGCCAATTGATCGCAGCAGTACTTGTGTACAGCTGCACAAGTCCTGAACGAGCTACATGCTAGTTATGTTATTGTTTGTACAAACAATATCAACAAACATTGATGAGAACTCTTTACTATAATAATAAACCTATTTGGCAGCCTATTCACTTTAAAACCTGCCAGTCTCCTATCATTGTTAGAAACATTAAGATAAAAAACAATAAATTACATATGTTAAACATTTGCATGCCTTCCTTGCAACCATTAGGGCAGTTCCATTTCAGCAAAATTTTTGAAAATTTCTCTCAAAAACCAGTGCAATGTAGACTTGTTAACTTGTTGACTTGTAAACTTGTTCTTTTATTTTGCTTATATTTTAGAAGTAAATGACTTCTGAGTTTCCTTGGTTTTTTATATTTTTAATTGGTATATTACAATTTGGTTTGCATTTTAAATATTTTATGCAAACTTTGATAATTGATTACACTTTAGATATAGCAAAAAAACAAATGAAAACAAAAATATACCTAAGATAGTATGATAATTTATATTGGAGTATGCAAAGTGAATATTTCAATTTGTTCAGAAAAAAAAAATAATTGTATAACCATTTTTTTATTTTTTTATTTTGCGGGGAAGGTGTAGTGTAGTGATCTAAGAATGTATTAGTCGTAATCTAGACTTCATCTATTAAACACGTGTATCCTAATTAATTATTGTTTCCTTTACACCCGACACCTCAGAGTATTGAAGTTTTTTTTTAAGGAGGGAAAATCATCGAATGACTGCTCCCGCCTGGGTGAGGCGGGAGGGAGTGTCAGACTCTTACTGACTAAAAACCACCCCGGTCCTTCCCCTGCACATCGAGCCGGAGCCCCGGTAACCCGTTAGGTTCTCCGCGACAGGATTGAAGGGTTAGATACTAGTCTAAAGAACAAGTTTGTGTCGATTGCAGACGAGGACACGCGTGCACAGGCGCTGGCAGCGCTGGAAGCGGCGCGAGAGCTGCCACCCGAGAGCGCGCTGGCGGCCGTGGCGGCGGCGCTGCGGCTGCGGCTGGACGGCGCGCTGCTGCCGCCGCTGAGCGTGGTGCAGCTGTCGGGCGCCGGCCCGGACCTGGCCTTCGCGGGCGCCACGCCGCAAGCCGCCGCAGCCGACGCGCTCGACTATCTGCGTCGCACGCTGCAACTGAGCACGCCGGTCCCGGTCGACTTACCGAACCACCCTGGCATTGATGAAATTATGCGACCTGTCCTCACTCACCTGTCTGACGATGACATGATCATATAACAAAGTATACAATAATACATATACTATGTATGACCTTTTGATCGCCACATCAAAAAAGCAAACCTCAGCGCAAAGCTCAAGAATTCTTAAGTATAGGTTTTTAGAATTTTTACAAGCTTTTGTTATCATAATATGTAAATATAGACAAATGCTAAAAAAGTAGATCAATTAATATAAGTAAGAATGTGTCAAAGAAAATTATTTGCAAAAAGAAATTATTGCATGTAGGCTGTGGCATGCTGGGCACTTTTTGAGTGACTTGGTTTGCTCTTATTATCTATACATGACTGGCGATAGAAAGAACAGATTAAATAATAATATATTATTTGTTCCTTTTGTATTTTTTTTTAAATCAAACCCCACAAAACTATATAAACACTCATAGCATAGACTAAGAACTCTCCAAAGTTCTTCCTGCAAGGCTAGAAACGTGTAGGAAGAGACGCAAATAATATGCAAAGAGCAATAATCACGACCCGGCAGTCAGCAGCTCTGCACACCACCATCCATTTCACTTTTTAAAGCATAAAATGATTGTACTGTCATCAGGTAATCCATTTGTTTGTTTGATTGTTAGCCCTTACCCTTTTTATATAAAAAGAAACAAAATTGAAACAAAATGAAGGCATTTATTGTATAAATGAAACATATTGAGAAGAAAATGAATTAAATAATTTCATTCAGAATCATCAATGTCTGACGAGTCTCTACGACGAGCCTTTGAAGCTAAGTTATGAATCCATGTAGCAGATTTCTGTGCTGCCGAGCGACGCGGCGTACTTCGGCGCTCGGTAGCAGTAGCGACCGGCGAGGCGGGCGCTGCCACCTCGTCCCGGCCGCGGCCCCGACTGCGAGAGCCGCGGGCGCGCGAACCCCGGCCTCCGCGTGATCCTCGTCCTCTTCCCCGCGCAGTAACCTCCATTTCCCCTTGTAACTCTTCATCACTGGATCCTTCAACTACAATTTGTTCCGACACAGGTGGTGCTTTTAGCGCAGCTAGCTGTGTAATATCGGCGGAATCGATTTCGTCTCTCAGTACTCGAAGACGGTCGGCAATCGCTTCAATTTCGGTATCTGTGTTTGACTCTAGCAGTGTAGTAATACATCGCCGCCTGTGTGCCTCCAGCACATGTCGTAAGATATCCTCGTTTTGCTTGAGAGTGTAATCACGCACTGCCTCTGTCATTAATTGTACAGGCAAAGCAGCGAGGCGCCGTTCTGGCGGCATAGCTTCGTAGTAGGACTGCAGCAATGTCTCAACATCAGTGGAGTCGGCAACATAGTCTGCTACATTGATCTCATCGCCTTGTCCTTGTCGTCTTTCACGTATTTTTCTTTCTCGCTTCAATAAAAGGATATCATTTGAGTTTGCCACTATGCCATTGAAATTTTGTCCAAATCTTGCTCTATTAAATATCTGATCTTCCCGTTCATAAAACACACTAATTCTTATCAATGGCATGGTTGGTTGCCTAGGATCACCAGATAAAAGATTTTTCGCTTCAACAATAGCCTCATTAACCTTTTCTTTAAGAAATTCTTGCACCTTTTCACTTTCATTGACATCTTCATCTCCAAGATTATGTTCGGACAAAACCACAGTTTTGAAAATAAATGGTCTGACAGTTTTTAAAGGTACAGCAGTTAAAATGAAATCAGTTTTATGGATTTGAAGCATTGCACAATGTTTAGGTCTAGCTTCTCCTGCAGCCAGTGAAGTGGCCACAGTGCTGCCAGGCTGGATGACATTGAAATGATTCTTTTCACTGCTACCTTTCATATCAAACAATTCACAATCATGTTCATGACCCCACACTACTAGATCCAAAAATTTTGGTAATTCATCTTCCTTAATAAAATTACCAGCTCCTCTATCTTCAGCTCTGTTCTGATGCAGTACCAGTATATTAAACCAGTCATGTTCCTCATCACGCAGCATTTCTACTTTTTTCTCTTGAAAAAGACGTGACAAGCGTTGGTCTTTCAGATGGCTCAAACCATACAAGGCAAGTTTGGTAGCACCCTTTTGTAAGAGCACTGGCGAAATACGTACATGAGTATAGTCGGTCCATTTGCCGAAATAGTTCACTAAACCGCCTGTAGAGAGTATATCAAGGCTGCTTATACCTTCACGGCCCACAGGATCGTCGTGATTACCATGTATAGATAGTATCGGATATGACACATTCAAGTTTGGATCTTCATAATTAACGCTTCGAGAAAAATTCACAGTCTGGTCTGACAGTAACTCGATGCTTACCGGCTTATCACCAAAACAATACTTACGAACGATCTCAGTGCACTTATAAATACAATTAAGTGAGGGCTTTGCATGATGGAACAAGTCTCCGCCAAGTAGCACCAGATCTACATCATACTGAACAGCCAATGATAATGTTTCTTCAAAAGCAATAAAGCTATCCTCACCTCTAACAGGATGCTCCTCTAAGTAACCTAAATGGATATCGGAAGCGATCAGTATTCTAATTGTTTCATCTTGCGACCACGCACTTGAATCATTTCCGACCATTTTTCACAAATTATACAATTTGTAATTACTTTTGTATATGATATAGATAATAATCACGTTGAACGCCTAACTTGTTTATTTTTATTTCTTTCAATAAACCGCCATCATCATTTTTAACTTGACACAACAGTAACAAGCCCAGCGTTGACGTTGACACGTGCTTGATTGACAGTTGCAAATTGCCATGCCGTTCCCGCTATTCTCTTTGGTTTAGTTACCACCTCGCACTGCAGTAGTTTTATAGTTTTCTCATACTTCTACTTACTGGAAAAAAACTTTGGTGAGAATAAAAAAATTATCCTTACGTTGAATGCTAAAGTGGAAAAAATACAATGCACAAACTTACCGACCCAGTTCTGGAAAATGACCATATCACATTGTACTGGGACCGGTCAATCATTACTGACAGGAAATAGTCCTGTAGGCAATAAACCTGACATAGTGGTGATAGACCGACAACTACGCCGCACGATAATAATTGATGTCACCATTCCCCATGATGAGAACCTCGTGAAAGCTGAGAAAGATAAACAAATAAAATATCTAGACTTAGCTCTCGAGGTTGTCGACATGTGGAGTGTGGATTCGGCTATCATTGTGCCGATACTCGTGTCGGCCAATGGGTTAATCCCTAAAAGCCTCGACATCCATCTTAGGAGGCTGGCGTTAGGTGGATGGATCAAGAGCCTGATACAGAAGGCAGTTCTCCTAGAAACGGCACGTATCGTGAGGAGGTTTCTATCTCTGGAGCCCTAGCCACCGGTAGCTTGGACCATGCTCCCGCTACTGGTCGGCTCCTATTTTTTATATTTTTAAATATTTTTTTTTATTTTGTAAGTAGTATTTAAAAATGTAATTTATAGAGAATTTTAAATAAATATAATAATGGAATAATAACTCTAATTGACACGGTTTTCTTACCCCAGCTGAAAGTTGTTATTTTTTTTTGTGTTCAGGTAGATATATCCAGAAAAAATAATAAAAAAAATCTGTCACGTCTGGTTTGAAAAATATTTATTTTCTTGAAGGGAAACAATAATTCTCTCCATAGCATTGGCGAACCAAATGGAAGGTAAACTTTTTCTCCTGATGACCACTGGAGTAAGATGATTCTACAGCTTTCGCAAAACACGTAAGGCACCCACTTTTTATCTTGATTTGCAACAGGAAATCCAAAATAATGAAGATATGCAGTTTTCAACGAATCTACAATAGGTCTTCTTTTTTTTGAAAATATAAACTGTCCACAAACATAACAAAAACGGTTAGAATTTTGTTTGCACTTTCTGCTAGCCATTTTAAATCAATCCAAAGCAAAGTAACTGTCGTTTGAAGCGAACGAATAAACAATAAAATATCACCACCACGTTAGGTAGTTAAAAAAAACATTTGACTGCAGAAAAAAATTCCGACGTGATAAAATATTGCTGCTAACACGTTTAGGTTTAGGGAAGGTAGATTAACATATTGACATACATTCGGTTCGGGGTATAAGTAAAAAAAAAGTAAAATTTTGTAAACTAGTGTAATCTATTTATCACTTTTTAATGTAAGCAACATTGTCCCTGACAAAGTGACAACCAGACTGACAAGATAGGAACAACTTGTTAGATGGATTTATTAATGTGATAAAATGCGAAATTATTTATACTGCGACGTAAATATAATTTTTAATGTAAACGTAAAAATATGAATACCGAGGACAGTCCTTTAAATTATTTATGGATAATCTCCGAAAGAAAAATAGTGTTAAGTTGAAGAGAAAGTGTCGTGAAATCGGACAGTCGTCGCCTTCAATGATGTGGAAGAGGTCGATTGTGCAAGCGACGACTGGGTGCGCGCGCGCCACCGCGGCCCTGGCCATGCTGCTCACTGTATTCGCGGTGAGTTCGCCAATTGATCGCAGCAGTACTTGTGTACAGCTGCACAAGTCCTGAACGAGCTACATGCTAGTTATGTTATTGTTTGTACAAACAATATCAACAAACATTGATGAGAACTCTTTACTATAATAATAAACCTATTTGGCAGCCTATTCACTTTAAAACCTGCCAGTCTCCTATCATTGTTAGAAACATTAAGATAAAAAACAATAAATTACATATGTTAAACATTTGCATGCCTTCCTTGCAACCATTAGGGCAGTTCCATTTCAGCAAAATTTTTGAAAATTTCTCTCAAAAACCAGTGCAATGTAGACTTGTTAACTTGTTGACTTGTAAACTTGTTCTTTTATTTTGCTTATATTTTAGAAGTAAATGACTTCTGAGTTTCCTTGGTTTTTTATATTTTTAATTGGTATATTACAATTTGGTTTGCATTTTAAATATTTTATGCAAACTTTGATAATTGATTACACTTTAGATATAGCAAAAAAACAAATGAAAACAAAAATATACCTAAGATAGTATGATAATTTATATTGGAGTATGCAAAGTGAATATTTCAATTTGTTCACATATATTAGTAAATTCCTAATCACTACAAAGGAAGTTTCATGAAATTATATTGTATGTTTTGGGACTAAAACCGGTATCGGTTCTCCTGGGATGCTATCACATCCGGACATAATGCAAATGTTTTCACACTGTAGATGATTTTGTAAATTATAATAAGATTTAATTGTCTTTAACCTGTGGTAGGTTGGAACTTAGATCTAAGCGAGACAGAATGTATTTTCTATTGTGTCTCATATACTGTACGGTCAACAGGGTTAATGGGTTTATTTGTGTTTTGAATTGATTTTTTGTAATATTTCTTTTAAATACAGAAAAATCTAGTTGTTTTTATTTTAGTTATTTGTTTGTTTTATTTTATATTTATTTATGCAATTTAATAGTTCATACATACATTCTTTTGTAACACCATCATGTATATACCTATGTTATACAATTAAATATTCTGATTCTGAAAATGGAGAGTGTAACTTTTGAAATTCAAAAATGAATATTGAAAATTAGTTCACAATTTGACACAATACTGATTACTGTCTGAAAAGCAATCATCCGAACACAAAATTCTCCTCATTTTTTTAATGTCACTAAAAATAACTCATTAGTTGGAACTAACTAACTTGTCAGCATCAAATCCTCCACAATTTGAAATTGTAGTATGAAAGAAACAGCAAGATCGCAAAACTTCCAGGGGTACAACATTCTGAGACTAGTTCATATTTCAGACCATTTATTACTTGAAACACTTGCTAAGTCCTGAATATTATTTATGTCAATTAGACCATATTATGGCAGTTGGGCAGTCCTTTATTGAAGCTATTTGCTCATTCCAAAGCACTTATAGCAGCATAATGGAGAAGAAAGAGCAAGAAACTTCATAGGTTCTAATCAGGTTCACAATACAATTCCTGGTTACATTGTTTTATTGGTTCAGTTTGGTGAGAACTTTGTAACACCAATATTCAATCAACAAGATAGAAAAGGAAAATAACCTTTGAGTAGAATAAAATTAATACAGTTTGGAGCTGACTAGTCCCAATTGATGGCGCCCGTTCACGGACAATCAACGCGTGTCCACTGTAAGTTATGTTATGGTCATATGACATTAGTCACATTGCATTTCTGTATTAGAATCACCTATGTATTTATCACACTAGCAATTCTTGCGCGGCTCCAATTGGGCATATAGTGATGTTGTATGGCCTACGCTAAAGCCTTTTTAGATAGATCTTTTTTTAGAGTAACGATGGAGTTACTTGCTCATTCTTCTCCGATCGAAACTACACTTTGAAACCAGCGCATAGCGTCACTGACAGACTGACGGACGGACAATACAATTTTTGACGTTTTAAATTAAAATGAAGTAGTTAAGGATTCATTGAAGTAAATGCTTCGACTTCGATGGGCGATCCTAAACTAGAAGGATTATTCTATTTAAAACCACTAGATCCGGAGATTAGGGCATTCAAAGCGATCAAAGTTAAAGTTTAGTGATTGAACTCGAACCTGAAACATTGTTATGTTTCATTGTAATTTACAATAAATTGTTATTTGAAGTGATACAATCTTATAGATAAAATTATTTTACGAATACAAAGAGAGAGTAAGTAAAATGGGCGGAGTATTAAAGAAAACAAATAACTTTTAAAGAGCTTTCCATGTACTTAAACAATCATCACGTTTTTCAGTTCGTCTCAGTTTTGCGATCTGCTAGTTGGAATACATAATGCTGAGTTATTAATCTATAGATGTTCACTATATTTAAGTTATATGAACTCTACATAACTTCACGCCTCACGTCTGTCTCCCTTGGGGGTAGGCAGAAACTATGGAACGCCAATTACTACGATTCCTACATACCTCTTTCGCTTCATCAATCTACAATAACGAACGAACTCTACAGCTTGACAATATTCGGTAATAATAAAATAAAAACTGCGTTTAAAAAACCGACTTCAAAAACCAAAAATCATAATTATAACCATAACAAACAAAAAGTCAAAACTAAAAAGAAAAAAATGACTATCATTAGTACTGATAGGTTACCCACCCACTGACAGGTAAGAAGTCGGTGCCATAAGTTCCATACAAAATTATTCATTAAAACCTTAATAGGTACCTAATTCACAATTGTGTGGACATTAAGTTATATCATTATAATATGAGCTTATGGCACCGACTTCTAACCTATCAGTACTAATAATAGTTATTTTTTGCTTTTTAGTTTTGACTTTTTGTTTGTTATTAGTTTTTGGTTTTTGAAGTCGGTTTTTTAAACACAGTTTTTATTTTATTATTTTATCATTTTCAGTGTAAAGCTACATATACCCGTTTTGTTACTTATAATCTACATAGGTGCAAAGTTCTAATCAATACAAATTATACAAGCCCAAATACAAGGTAGTTACAGCATACCGTTGAGGAGTTCCCTTAACAATTACACTTCTTCATCATCAGACCCTTAATGACAGTCCCACTCTATCCAGGTGTAAAGTCCTCATCAATACAAATTAATCAAGCCCAAACACAAGGTAGTTACTGTATACCGCTGAGGAGTTCCCTTAACAATTACACTTCTTCATCATCAGACCCTTAATGACAGCCCCACTCTATCTAGGAGTAAAGTCCTCATCAATACAAATTAATCAAGCCTAAACACAAGGTAGTTAATATAAACCGTTGAGGAGTTCCCTCGACTGTCTGTCGGCTCCATCATCAGGTCGACTCCAGACCCTTATCAAATTGTAGTGTTTAAAAATCGTAATTGAAAAACATAATAGACCCATTACTCGCCCATAGAATTTTCAAAAGTTCCCCCTCGGTTTCCCTAGGATCCCATCATCAGATCCTGACCTCGTGGAAATGGGACCATCTCGGGAGTATACCCGAGTTCAAACAAAACAAGAATTTTGGAAATCGTTTCACAAATGGAGAAGTACTGCGCGAACAAACAAAAAACAAAAAAAAAACCATCAGCCGAACATAGTACCTCCTCCTTTTTTTGAAGTCGGTAAAAATTAGTCATTAAGTATTAATTGATTCATCTGTTTAGAGTACATGGCGGGGCGGAGCATGTGCGGACCTGGTGATTGAGATCCCAGGCTCGGTGGGCGGGGAGGCGGAGGCGGACGGCGGCCGCTACCGGCTGGACTACCGGCCGCCGCACGGCACGCCCCCGCCCAACTTCACGGTGCCGGCGCGCGCCAACACCATCAACTTCCAGGGCCTGCCGGGCACCAAGTACCACTTCATGCTCTACTACTCCAATGCCACATTCGCCGACCTCTTGACATGGAACCAAACAATCATTACTGGTACTTGTTTGTTCACCATACTTTATACTGCCATACGCACCCGGTAACATTCATAGAATTACCTTTTTGCTCTTTTTCTCCGTAAAAACGAACTCTGTCCCGCGTAATTTTCACGTTGTTACTTCACGTTAATATAAAAATGGTAATTGGTATTTAATGACAATGATTATGTTCTAGACTACAGACTTGTGCTTGACATTGCATGTATTGTATGATTGATTGTAGGTAATCGTGTGCTCATTTAAAGTTCTGATAAAAAACTTTTTTTTACTAACAGGTATAGATTTTTGTAAACATTATCCACTAAGTATCTACATGTTAACAAAAAGTTTAAGCTAATTTCGTGTGTACACCGGCTTTTGTGGTAGACAGTTATATTATTAATTTTAATCCTAGCTATCTGTAATTTTTGGGTCTCTGATTGGTTCCAAATGCGAAACTAAGTTTTGTGTACCAAATTCCGATTTATTAATAATATAATTAAACATATTTTATTCGTAGCTTCACATTATTTCAATAACTCGTAATTCTAGGAAACTGTTATCCTGCAGAGAATCTTAAAATCGTACACAAATGATTCAGATATTAAAATAATACTGTCGCTTGATCAAGATAAGATTTTATCCTTCGGTTTTTCCTCACATATTTGGCCACCGCAGAGAGAAGGAGTATCGCAATCGTATCACTCACTTAATACGTGAGCCCCGATGATTAGCATGACGTCTGTCACAAAGTGTAACGATGACAGGTTCATCTGAATTTAAACCTTCGAAGATTAAGATCCCTACAGACGTATGAAACTAATGAGTGGCGAGGGATGTGTAACCTCTAAGGAAACCTACAGGAAAACCGTAGTGTGGTGGTACAAGGATGTTGCTTAAAATAAGCTTCTATCTATATATGCAAGTGCTTTGCTATTTTGTTGAAGCATGAATGACGGTATGAGGAAAACTACTAGATATAGTAGGTGTCTAACAATTGTTATAGAAGAGGAAGACCCTACTGCGATAATGTATTATTTTTACATTAATTGTTTGTTTTTATGCACAGCCCCGGAGCCGCCTACAAACTTGACGGTGACACTAGGGCGCAACAAACAAGCGCACATATCGTGGTCGCCCCCCGCACACGGTGACTATACCGGGTTTAGATTTAAGGTACGTACCTACTAATCTAGCTATGCACATACTAGGTATATCTAACACGACTGTGCAAAAAGAGTTGACGTAATAGCGAGATGTGACTTGCAATTTGTTTGGTTAGCATCATCAAATTCTGGGGAATTCCTTCGTTAACAAGAATTATATCGCTAAAAATAACAAGGAAATAAAAGACAGACATGGTCTATAGTTCGAGTTTGGTAATATGGAAATTTTTCAAGACAACAGGTAATATATGTAGATACAATATCGTAGTTAGAGGAACAGCAAAGGTCGTTTGGCAAGGGGGTAACGTAGGAGATGCGGTGCAGGTGATCCCGCTGACGGAGCGCGCGGAGGGCGGCGCGAACAACATCACGGCGGAGGGCGCCGCCACCAACCACACGCTGCGCGACCTGTCGCCCGGCGCCACCTACCAACTGCACGCCTTCACGCTGCTGCACGACAAGGAGAGCGCCGCGTACGCCTCGCGCAACTTCACCACCAGTGAGTCTACTGGCTACTGTCTACTCCTACATACATCTCTCCTTCGCAGGGTGTCTACTCGCTTTACTGCGTCCTACAATTAATATTTTAGACTTCCTTCGTCACCAATTAATGAGGCCCGGAAATCGTTATTCTCTAGATACGTTACGTAAGCAGTTTTGTATTAAAATAGGTGCGTATTTATCAGTTTCTATAGCAACGATAATTATGATAATATCCCGATAACTTGTCCTCTCATTTGCTATTCTAAATCACACAGAGTGCATGAAATTATCCTTCCTGTGGAAACAACAGTAGGTACCTACAATGCGAAATGAGTTAAAATTATCTAAACGTAATGTTATTTGATTCATATAACGAATCAATGACTCAGTGCGTCGGGTCTTTCGTAAATCGATGCGTCATACAAACATAAATACACAAATAGTGGTAACCGTCTCTGTATTGCGAACTCTCTAAACTAGATTATTGAGTAGCGTTGCCTTGACATTTATGTGTGTGTGAATCTGGGTGTGCCGCGCCACGTGACTGTCACGTGACGGCGACGTGACGGCGACGCGACTGCCAGTATACTGTACGTGAAGCGGTCGCCGCGGCGCGCGGCGCGCCCAATCGTTCACTATACAACAGAGAACGACGCAGGCGCACTGCCTCGCCGAGGTCACCGCTGGGACAATCGGCCACGGCTGTGGATCGTCGCTGCATAGATCTTCCTGAACAAGACAATGACGAGGCTGCGGCCTCATACGCGAAACTAATCGATTTCGCATACTTAAATTCTCTGGATCTCAGATTTGAGTTATGAGCGTGGCGGTATTATGTTAGTAACTGACAACACATTATGTCTACATGTCCGCGCTATGTAATATATGTATGCGCGAACTGTTCCCAATAAATATCTTTTAATGCTAACTCACTACCTCAATTTTTTTTATGGCATAAGCCGGTAAACGAGCAGACGGATCACCTGATGGTAAGCAATCGGCGTCGCCCATGGACACCTGGAACACCAGAGGCGTTACAAGTTTGAGGATTAGAAGTTTGAGGATCGTTGTGGATTCAGGGATTGGGGAGATTGAGGAAGGGGAGGTTAATTGGGCCTCCGGTAACCTCACTCACACGACGAAACACATCGCAACCGTTGCTTCACGTCGGTTTTCTGTGAGGCTGTGGTATCATTCCGGTCGAGCCGGCCCATTCGTGCCGAAGCATGGCTCTCCCACACTTACTACTCATTTTGCTGACTTACTCAATTTTAATTTGTATAGGTACCTATGGACCTGTGTACGATTTAAAGGAGGCCGACAATGTAGTCGCGATACTTGTGAAGTAGCTTTGTTGTGGCGTATAATTGTACAAAATATATCTCCTTAATACTTTTGCACCTATTTGTTGAGGTGCGCCCTCTTTCGAGCATTGAACTACACATAGTTCTACTCACAGACACACGGTACCATCACCACATTCAATTTTGTGGTGACTATAGGGGATTCTCATCTATCAACAAAAAATTATAACGTTATGTTATTTGTATAGTTTAAAACGTGAGGAATTGAAAAAAAATGTTGTTATTCCATAAAGACATAGGATTCATTTTAAATTTCAAAGTTAAAATCAAAGTTTTATTATCTGTATGTCACGTGACCAAAAACGTCGCCATCAAAATATTTTATAGTAAACGATAGCATTCTTGTCAAGTCAAATTTTAACTACTTTTTGTGTTTATTAAATAAAATTTTAATGTAGAATTCTTGCAATTTAACGCAACACACCAACGATACGGGTTATTGAAACTCATCTTTATTTTATTTTATAAATACAACAAAATCACAACGCAACCAACTTGTTTACAAAATCTATGGCTTGGCCATTTGACGTTTCAATATTTTCGAAACGATTTGCCGGCCATTTGACGTCTGTGTTTTGGCGCGTATATTTTACGACATTGATATTTAATTTTTTTCGGCATAAAGCGGTCATATTTTCCTGAAATAAAAATTATACTTGATAATCAGATATTATACGAACATTTAAAAAAAATCAAACAGTTAGAGAATAGCCTATTTCAGTATAAGGAATATAAGGAGGAGACAGCACCTATTACTCCATATAAAAATATTCAGATGTGATATTTATGGACACGCCGGCTTCTGAATGAGTGTGGTGAAATTGTTTATCAAACTTGGATACAATTATTTTATAATTATCGGATAGAAATGTATTCGAATCGTTGCGCGTTGTTCCGCATGAAATGTGCATAGCTTCGTACTTGTGATACAGTCAGTGCTATATCTAGTGTTCCAGAACATGCGCCGGCGCAGCTCGGTTCTAATTATGTAAAAATGTTCAGCGCTGTCTAAAGTGAAAGTATGTAGGTCCGCTCCCTCAGAGAGTCGGAGTGTCCACCTGTGATGTAACTCGTATGTTTCGTACCGCTGCGCAGGATGCACGGGACCCTGGTGAGCAGAGCATGCTACTTACTCGCCTGCATGGGCTGCATGGGCTGCATGCCACCGCGTGCTGCCTCTTGTCTGTCGCTTGTGTATCTTTGTGAAATATAACATTTTGTTCGTGTACTGCCGAGTGCTGCACTCGCATACTGTCTGCAGACACAGTGATGTGTCTCGGAGCACGATGTACATGCACTAGTCGGCCGTAGCATGATGGCCGCTCGTACATTTCTCGCATGCTTTACTTAACGCTTTTACACGTTAATGGCGATCATCGACACTTACTTAAATCTTGTTCTAGAAGTTTGAAGTTTGTTATTGTCCATAATCGCACAAAGTACTGACCGCGAATCAAAGTGATCTCTGTGTGGCCAGCGGACTCCAACAAGTGACATGTCGCGGCGTTACCATGTCATTGTTCCACCGGCCAGAGATCACGTTGATACACTCACACACTTTATTTACATTGCTGATACTAATCAAGAAATGACCAGAACATGTAAATCAGTTGCAAAACTATTATAATTTTCTACGGATTTTATGTTATTTATTCGTACTCGGTGTATTGCCTGAAGTAGATTCGATATCGTTACGTATATTGTATTGGTGAAGCCTGTACAGCGGTCGCACTGTGTCCCCGCAGAGCCCAACACGCCGGGCAAGTTCATCGTCTGGTTCCGCAACGAGACCACGCTGCTGGTGCTGTGGCAGCCGCCGTACCCGCCCGGCGCCTACACGCACTACAAGGTACGTCCCGCGCACGTCCCGCGCGCGCCCCGCGTACGTCGCGGCCGGGCTACATCGCTGTGTGTGCAGGTGTCCATCGTGCCGCCCGACGCGCGCGACTCGGAGCTGTACGTGGAGAAGGAGGGCGAGCCGCCGGGGCCGGCGCAGGCCGCCTTCAAGGGCCTGGTGCCGGGCCGCGCCTACAACATCTCCGTGCAGACGGTGTCGGAGCCCGAGATCTCGGCGCCCACCACGGCGCAGTACCGCACCGTGCCGCTGCGCCCGCGCAACGTCACCGTGCCGCTCGCCGACCTCAAGGAGACCTCCTTCAAGGTCACCTGGCTGCCGCCGCTCGAGGAGAGGTACTTGTACCATTCACACTTTCTTCGAAGGTTGACGTTTACAATTTATTAACAAATATGTGTATATGTGTGTACACCTGTGTAATTCATATTGTCCAGCATTTGTGGTGTTTGCTTGTTAAAGTAACTTTAAAAAATATGAGCAGACAAAGGTCTCCTTGAAGGTTCCTTTGAAGCCATTCCCCGATCACGACACTCCAAACACCTTAAATAAAGGAATCATCTGTTTCATAAAACATCAAACCGTGTAGTTTGCGCAGTGAATTCAGTTCGTTAGGGTGGCTGGGTGGCTGGGTGGTAACAAGTGGTGTGTCGTGTCGCCAGCGAGTTCGAGAAGTACCAGGTGTCGGTGAGCGGGACCGGCGGCGGCGGCCGGCGCCTGGCGCCCGTGGTGCGCGCGCGCAACGACACGCCCGCCTGCGCCTTCGAGGGGCTGGAGCCCGGCGCGCCCTACACCGTCACCGTCAAGACCATGTCCGGCAAGGTCACGTCCTGGCCCGCCGCCACCGACCTGACCCTGAGTGAGTGCCGCCGGCCGCGCAGCCCGCGCCGCGCGGCCAGCCAGTGACCGCTTCCTCCTTGCAGAGCCGCTGCCGGTGCGGGACCTGGCGTGGCGCTACGCGGCCGACGGCGCCGTCGACCTCTGGTGGGCGCCGGCGCCCGCCAGCACGCAGGACGAGTACAAGGTTCGCACGCACTCACTACTGCTGCCTGCAGTCGGGCCATGACAGACGACCCAACTGTCCCGGCACCGCAATGTGACAGTGTCGCACAACTCGCACACCTAACTGTGAGTGAGGGATCTGACAAAAATTACTTATGACGTTCGCATGTTTGAATGGCCCGACTGTAATATAATATCAGTTCTTTCCGTGAAGTGTTGTACTTACTAACGATACTGGTTCAGGCATATTCTTCTGAATGAACTATGGTAATAATCACATTTAGACTTTCAGGCAACATCCATATCTGTTAGTATAATTACAGACTTACAACTATTGTTAGTACAAAATTAAAATGTAAGATTATAAAAATTACAATAATTTCCCGCTCGCAGCTTTGTTCACACGGTCAAAAGATAAATAAAGTTATGTTCGGAAATAATTATTTCCAAACACAAAATTCATATTATAAAACTGGTCCCCGGCGACGCGCGACATGAAATAAATATATATCAACATCAAGAGGTAAGTCGAGGCGCGCAGTGCTCGTCACTGACACGTAGAGGTAATGTTAATGAATATAACACACACTGTAACGACGTGCAGTGACGTGTAGTATGGGATGTAGTAGGGGGTGAACTTATTGCCATACACGGTGGTGCCACCTAACACCGATTGCCGGAAATGATAGGAAACCAGTTATGGTGGCAATGGAAAAGGATTGCAATGAACATCTGCAAACAAGCATAGCGAAGAAAGTGGAGAGTTAGTGAGCGGCGACGTGTGCAGGTGTCGTACCACGAGGCGGGCCCGTCGCGTGACGACAGCAACACGCTGAGCACGGCCGAGCCGCGCGTCACGCTGCGCGCGCTGCTGGCCGGCCGCAACTACAGCGTGTGGGTGGC